GAGCGGGAGTGGGAGTGAGAACGACGGGAATTGCCGAAGAGCGGTGGGTTTCAACTGGGGAATGGCGAGGTTCAGCTGCGTTCGACAATTTTGATCATTCTTTGATGCATCCCATTTTTCTAAAACGTTATCCCAACCACTGGTTTTCATTTTAAAAAGTGGAAGGCCGAGATTTATCAAGCCTCTCATGCGCAAGCCATGTGCAGGAGAGTAAGAGGTTCGGAGGAGATTAGCATATGGAGAAATTCACAAAGGTAAGTATCTTGTTATTTTATTGCATTAAGCTTTATTGTTTTACACACTTCTAGGTATCTTGTTATTTCAATTTCATTTTAATACAAGTTCGTTTATTTATCGCCCTTTACTTTACACAACTTACCTTTTTGTTCTTTATGTTATCGTTCATTATATTATTGCACTTTACAATCTTGCATTTTAATTCCTCGTTTGTCTGTTCAATTGTTTGGTTAGAAGTCAAATTCACGGCGTACAACATTACTTGCACATTCCATTGAGACCAATATGTGGTTTGGTGGCGGCACACCTACGTAATCCGAAAAGAAGGAAAGTCCTTCTCTCGACCCAACCCGGCCGAAAAGAGGGAAACATAATTTCAATTTGACTTCCTCAACTGCTTCTACTTTTGCATGAAGACTTGATGTGACTACTTCTTAAGTTGTATACACTCAAATAAGAGTTTTGCAAATAGAGTTATTTTAGTAGTGTGATTGTGTAAAGTTAAAGTAGAATCCAATAAGATATATATATACATGAAATCTTGTCCTATTAAACTTGTATTATTTGGGAGTCAAGTAAAACCCTACCTATGAATGTTAGTATAGATAAAGGGACAAGGCCAAAGGGAAAACACCATCTCACAAATAACTGAAGCCCTTCTCTCCCTCTAACCGCCCCTCTCTTTCTCACTCTCAAAAGAAACTTTTATTCAAACCCGTTTGTTGTATCTTTGCACCCAACTTATCAAATTTCTCTATCACATTTTCAAATTTGCATAAAAAATTATATTAAAACCCAAAACCCGTGAACAACAAAACACTATTTTTATCTCTACACCCATCCATTTATTCATGTAAACTCAACTTAGACGCTGGTTACACTTTCACCGACATTGTCAATGGCCACCATTCCCTTTCACCTTTTTTCCTTTTCCTTTGTTTCTTGAATTTCCTTCGGTTTTTGGGGATTCAATCAACTCTTGTTCATGATTATGCTTAACTTCTATCTCACCCTTGTTGTTCAAGGACCTTAAACGAAGAGCATTTGCGGAGAAAAATTCTTGTCTGGAGTCAAGATCTTCTCGTTCTGTTCAATATAATCATTATCATCCTCATACCTAGCCTTTATGAATCTTCTTTGCTGTTTGATATGTGAAATTTAGCACTAGCAGCAAGTTTAGCTCTTCTTGCACAAATGCTTCCCATCCCCATGCTTGATTTACTCCATGATCACAGTTAAGAGGTATGATGGCTGTCGAAAACGTCGGGGAATTGTAAACGGCTCTTGGGCTAGGTTTACCGGAATGTATGGAAGGGGTCTAGAGATAAGAATAAAGAACTTTTTTTTTAGGAAAAATTAGTATCCGGTCCCTAGTTCTTACTGTTCATTGACTAAGACCTTATTAGTTCTCAAATTTTGATTCAAGTCCCTAGCAATAATGTGATAATGAATTTACATGTTTATTATATAATTTTTTAATATAAAAATTAGTAATTAATTTAGGGTTTAATACTCACACCTCTATTAAACTTCTAATTAATTTTCAATTCAAACATTTCCAAAATAATAAAAAATTAAATTAAATTAAGTTTGTACCTATTACTTTTTATATATATATATATATAAAAAGATTCTCAATTTTTTAATCTTAAATGTACCCATTCATATAACTTTTCAATTTTTTTAATCTTAAATGTACCCATTCTCAAATACATCAATTTGTTATATGTAAAATGTACCCTTTTTTTTTAATATAAAATCCATTCAAATTTTTTAATCCATGTTTAAACTTATATGGATACATTCTTTTTCGTTGATTTGAGAATGTATCCATGTTTTGATACAATAACTTTTTTTGTTAATTTTGGTTAATGTACCCATACATATATGTACACACACACACACTGTCACAGCCCGTCCCGAAAATTTTATATCGGGAGCGTGAAATAGCGGATTTACCCTTAGCGGGTATTAAGGTACGTGTGTGTGACGTTATTTGGGTTAATTTTATAAGTTTTGGGATTAAAATTTTGGTTTTGGAATTATGTGGTTAGGGAATTGGATGGATGGTGAGGATTTAGTGTGGACACCTCACACACTTCTTGTTCTCTCCCTCTTCCCGTATCACTCTGTCTCTCTCCTCCCTCACGGCTTTCTCTCTCTCTCACCCCGATTGTACGGACATCACCAAAACCATCCAAAACTCCGTGGATCGAAGCAAACAAGGTGAAATTCTTCATCCTTGTGACGCTCTGAGTCGTTTGGTGCTAGTTTTAGGAAGGGAAACCTTCGAAATAACGTGAAACCCGAACCCTCATTTTTTGTCACTGTTCATGCAATCGTATTATGTTGCATTTCAGGGAATTTCAAGCTCATAGTGAGCTTAGTGAGGTTCCAAGGAAGCTCGGAGTGCTTCGTTTGAAGGTTTTGGACATCGGGATCACTAGGTTCGAGTTTGGCCGATTTTTCTTGAATTTTCCCGGTGAGATTTAGTTGTTTTTAGAGTTTTAAAGTAGTATATCGTGAATCTACATGTTTGGGGCTTCATTTTGATATAAAATACGAAGAAATTGGTTGAGAAACGAAGGAGAACAAGGAAATTCAAAACTCGCCGGAAACCGGCCGCCGGAAAAACCAATCCAGCGACTGGCTGAGGAAGACGATGAGCGTGGGGGGCGTGTGGACCCATGCCACCCACGGCGCGTGGCAAGCCTAAAAATTTTTCTAAAAATTTCTCGACGTCCGTGACGTCGAGTAGGTCGATGTGGTATATTCATATACCCAAATTGAGCATCGTATGAGAAGTTATTTCGAATTGTTGGTTATGTGTTTAAATTAACGTTTTTATAGTTGTTTCGCATATAGGTGACACCTATCCCGAGGACAAGCGCATTTAGGGACGTCACGGGGGTTACGACCCATCGACTTACCAGTGAGTGGGCAGTTTTGTTTTCGTATTACCTATATACTACTGTTTTTCCCAGAAAATGCATTTATATGAAATTATATTTCTAAAATGCCATGCATGCATATTATGAATTATGAATTGATAATTGATGCATATATATGTGTGAATTGGTGCCGTGGACGCACAGGTGAGTATCAGGTGAGTTTATATGGTTTATATGAATGAATGATGATGTGATTGCGTTGTGAGCTCATAAACTGCACCTTTGGTATTAGTGCTTATAGTATTCACCACACCGCACGCTCGCCTTGGATCCAAGTAGGTGGATGTCGTACGGACCACTAAAGGTGGTTCCGACATGCCAGTCGTACAGACCATTAGAGGGGTTCCGACTGGTGGGTGACTTTAGATTATGTGCACAGATGATTGATGAAAGAAGCACTAGAGCGTATTATTTCACCATCTTAGTCGTACAGACTACTATAGGTAGTTCCGACTTATGTGCAGTGTAGTGCCGTACAGGTCACAGTTGGTGACTCCGGCACAGCCGTACAGGTCACAGTTGGTGACTCCGGCTGGATGGGATATTGAGCTATAGAATCAGTCGTACAGGACCACTGCAGGGTCTCTGGTTGATTTATTATTTCACCTGAGTTATATTGATGCATTCATATTATATTTTGGCATGGCATGGCATATTCTTTCTGAGATGTTATGTTGATAGATGGTAAGCTGAGTTTTGATGATTTATGTATATATATATATGTTTATATACTATTTTTCTTGGAAAGTATACAGGTTTTACGGTGAGGGGTTAGAAATGTTTTAAATGAAATGTTTTGGAAAATCTTTGGTTTTACTGACCCACTCACCTTTGTTTTGCGCCCCTCCAGGTTCTAGTTAGCAGTTGGTGGCTCACGAGTTCTTTTCGGCATTTTGACAGACGTTCTGCATGTAGGACTCACCTGCAGGTGTTGTACTTTAATTATGATCCTACTTGACTGCACTTAGACCTACGCTCTGAATTCGTGTGTTTTACTTTATAACTCTCTCTGGTATGCTAGTAGGTTATTCTGCTAGTGGTTGGTTTATTCCTTCATATTTCTGTTATATCTTGCTTCCGTGTCGCACTTTTGGCTACGTCACACTCACGTGACGGCCAGCACGCCTTGATTCTAGGATCAGGGTGTGTCACACACACACAATATAATAGAGAGTATAATTTATATTTTATTATTTTTAATCCCATAAATTATGGGTTTTATTTAAAATCTCATTAATATAAACAATTACAAATTTCAATTTTTAATTTTTAATTTAAAAAATATAGTAACTTACATTATTATATTAATGTCAGGGACCTCAATCAAAAATTAAAAACTAACAAGGTTTCAATTAAAGAATATTGATAGCTAGGGACCGCATCCAAAGTGTCCCTTTTTTTTATGTTCGCGGGTTTTAGGTCTAATCTAAATTTTCTCTGCTATTAATTAAGGGCAAAACTGGAAGTTTGGTGAAGAAAATTTATAAGTTGGGTGTAAAGATACATAAGTAGGGTTCGAATAAAATTTCTCATTGTTTTATTTTACGACAATTTTTTTTTTCATTACATTGCCTAATTATAAGCATATGATTTACAAAGAAAGGGTACTAACTAATTATATATTGGCCTTCAGTGTACAACACACAACTAATAATATTTACGACAAAATAATTATTGTTTATTTATTTTTTTTATCCAAATGGCACAAATTTGATGATCGCGTCAGCAAATATGTGGAACCCACAGTTACTATGTCATCTCTTAATGATCAATTTACGGATATATGCTACAACTAAAATACAATTTGTGTACGATGTTGTAATGTTTTAAAATGAGGTATGTTGTTGTGGTTACACCTAAACTTAAGGGTGCAAACTATAATTAATTAACCCAAGAACAAGGTAATTACATATGCACTGGAAAGATAAAACTGATGAGATCCAACAAGACATTTTACTCCTTGAGAAGTTAAGTTTTTTTCAAGAGAAGAGGATCCAGGACAGTGTGGATGGCATACAGAAGCAGCAGCAAATATATTATGAGGCCAACAAAGCTTGAGATTAGGGCTGCCTTTACTTGGTCACAGTATTTGGGGACTTGCCCACATATCGGTTGCCAACCTGCATATGAATTTCCATGCTTCCCTACATCACCAATAGCCAAAGCTGCTGAAATGCTTGAGCTCAGTAATACAGTGATTACCTGTTCATAGTCCAAACAATTCATTGCAGCTTTTATTGTTAAATTAAATTGGTTGGAATTACAAAAAAGAATTACTGAGAAACATGAGCAACCTTCAAATAATTAAGAAAAAAGAAATCTAGCTACAGAGTTTTAAGTTATAAATTCATATGATTACCACATCCAAAGCCACAACTAATCTCCATAGCTGACTCTCAGAAGGAAGAAAAAGAACCAAAAACCCGTATACAGTTGCAATCGCATTTGCTATCACAAAGTACCTTGAAGGATAAAAAGAGTATGTTTAGCAATACGTACATACGTAAAGAAAATGTATAGAAATTATGCAAGTAGCAATGCGTGTTGCCAGACTATTAATCCAAACTATTGATCATCATGATGTTTTTTGTCTAGCAAGAAAAACCACCAATCCTCTACAAAGTATATGGCGTATATAGCGTGCGCCGTTGAAAAGGCTGAATAAAAGCGAAATACAAAAAACTTACTGGAAGGCTGGTGTGTGGTTATACTTGACTTCAAAAGATACTCCAAAGATGCTGGTTCTCTGATGGCTTGTAACCATGACAATTGCAGCCAAAAGGGTGGCGGCGGCGGCCATCAGCCGTAGTACTAGGGTGCAGACTCTCTTAGTGATCTTGGCCATGGATTCTGCACTGGAGTTTGGGTGCATGCACAAAGAAACTGATGCATGCAGGTTTCTTTGCACGGTAATAAGCATACGTAGGGTTAGAATGTTGGGAAGGAAAGTTGGTGGGGTTTGGTTGCACTTGTAAAAGTTATTCATACTTGTTTGTCTTTTGTTAGTTGAAAAGCTCAACGGTCACCACCAGTACGGTCCACTAGAAGCTCATCTACCTTAAGGCTTCAATAGACTTTTGAGCCATTTGTGATTGTTTTACTGTACTAATCTCTTTTTTTTCTTTAAAAAATGTTACTCTTAATACATATTTGTGCCGAGTAATGTTAGAAAAATTAAATTTATAGACTAAGTTTGCAAACTAAATGATGAGTCACTAATAAGAAATAAACATATTAATCAACACTTAACTAATAATTCAATCACCAACTTCAATGTCATTTAGTTTATATAATTTAGTCTACACATTTAATATCGCTAACATTACCCATTTGTACCATAATCTGTAACATCTCATAGAGGTGGGACCCACATGTATTGGTGGGTCCTACCTCTATTAAAGAGATAAGACAAAGATGTGGTAAGGCGATAATCATTCCGTTTTAGTTATTAGTTTTATTTGTTGGGTGTAAATAAAAAGGAAATACAAGGAAAAATGACGGATGAATAAGAAGAGGAAGAATTGTGGGAAGGGTTGAAAGAAATGCACATGCAAATGTAATAAAAACTACAAAACAACTTTAACAAGGTTTCCTTTTCTAATTTTTGTTCTCATTTTGTATACCATTTCATATGAATTTTTCTTCTTAGTTCATTATTCATTTCAAGTAAAATATCTACGTTTAATGGCGGAGTCAGAATTTTCAAATAATGAAGTCATGATGTTGACCCAAAAATCTTCATTGGGCCATCTTGTTAAACACCTTGTATAAAAATGTAGATTCATGCCAGTATATGTTGAAAGTTTATGCCAACATATGTCAACAACTACTATGATATATAGAGGCTTGTCAATGGTGACTACAGAACACTGTAGAGTAATGTTGAAAAAGATTGCCAAAAGTTGTTAACTAAGGCATTTCATCGAATATTTGGTGCGCACAATAAAGTCGCACACAAGAAGAGAGAAAGAAAACAAGGATGCTAAGGGAAAATGGACGAAGAAGTAGGAGGAGAAGATTGTAACTTCATTTGCCCTAACTATTTATAGAGTCAAGTACAATACACATACAAACATACATAGTTTTTTTGAAGTGGTTGACAACTTCACGTAATCATTAATCTATACAAATATACATAGGTTGTTGTATCCATCAATGTAAACATTAATCCAACAACTCCACGCTTACTTTCTCATTTACGACAAACGATTCATTCAACTGTCTCGACAATTAATCTCCTGCATGCTTTGTTTAGGCTTTTCGGGTTATCAACCATGAATGACTTCTTAACTAACTGACTAACTAATAAAATAATTAACTAATAAAAAAATTATATGATTGGATGCTTATCATTGTGAACGAACAATGCGAATGTACTTTTAATTATTCATTCACTGGGGTTTCTATTTTTATTAGTTTGAATTCCCTTTTGAACTACTAAATTATAAGTTTAGTCAATTTGTATTTCTAAATTATATTGCTATGTGCCTTCGGATGAGGCAATATTATATCAGATACTTTACCCTAATTTTAGTATTAATTTATTGGTTATTTTGGTAAAATTTTAATACTTTGTTATATATTTTCAATGTAGGACATTTGACTTCATCTGGAGCAAAAAGTGATCAAACGGATGAATTTTGGAGTGATTCCAATTGGAGGATGTTCGTGAGTCTTTCAAGATGATTGTATAAAAATTTCAGATTTTTCTACCTAGCCGTTTGACCGTGACGATGAAATTAAGGAGTAAAAAGTGATCAAACGGTTGAATTTTGGAGTGATTCCAATTGGAGGATGTTCGTGAGTCTTTCAAGATGATTGTATAAAAATTTCAGATTTTTCAACCTAGCCGTTTGACCGTGACGATGAAATTAAGGCATTTTTCTACCTAGCCGTTTGACCGTAATGATGAAATTAAGGCCCTCCGCGCAGCTTTCCCAGATTGATGTTTCTGGACGTTTTAGGTATTTTGGAGGTCAAGATGGCATATTTTCCAAAAGAGACCTTTTGGGACCAAATCGGAGTTGATTTAGTCGGTCAAAAGTATGATTTTCTGAGAAATCCGAATTTTAGTTTAAATAGGAAACCTTTTATTTTCTGTTTTATTATTTTATTATGTTTCCTAGTTTTATTCTAAGACATTTTCTTGGAAGAATTTTATTTTGTAGTAGTATAAATAAGGTTTTTTAGCCATTAGGTTAAGGAGGGAAAGCACGCACTATTGGGAAATTGCTTTGGAAGATTCAAGTTTATTTTCAAGGAGTTTTCTATCCATGTTTTTAATAGTATTTTGTTTTATGATTGTTCGTAGCTAATTTTCGTTTGCTAGGGCAATGCCTTGAGCCTTAGCATGAATATGTAGTCTTTATTTAATTGCTTATGATATTATGCATGCATACTTTGAATTATTAATCACTCTGCTTTAAACTGTCTCTATATCTTAATGCTTAGCTATTATTAGGATGTTTAGATAAGTAATCAGATGCAATTTGGTCATAATACCACCAAGGGATTGAGTGTTGCTTCTTGTGATTGATAGTTGTAATTTCACATAGGATGAATACCACGTCTTAGGGGTTGCGTGGTTTTTCAAATGGTTTTCACAAAGCGTAATGAGTCATACATGTTTATATTTGATCTAAATGTCATAGACAGATTGCATGTTTGATATACGTTCTAGCTTGAATGCCACAAGTAGAATGTGCATAAGGAAAACCTAACCTTCAAAGTTGCATGAGTAATTCATAAGTAATTGGTAAATCTACATATGATTGTTAAGGGGATGGCAGAACCCTACGCCTTGTACAATTTGGTTTTCAAAAACGTTTTCCTTTGTTTTCTTTACTTTGTCAATTTATTTAATTGTTTTTAATTAAATTCGTTTTTAATATTTTAGGTCATTAAATCAACCTCTTCTAAACTTTGTTTTCAAATAGTTAATTAAGAAATAGTTTAAATACAAATTATTCATTCAATCCCTACGGAAAACGACCTTGCTTGAACTGCTATATTACGATAACCTTGTTTTTTTTGTAAGTATTTTAAAGTGTTTTTATCCTTACTTTTGCAGGTGGTAAAAATCATATCACCTTTAGGTAATTCCCTCTGGTTCTTGGCCAGGGTTTCTATTTAAGCTAATGTAATTACAAAGAAGGCACTTGGTCTTCCACCATAATAGGTTTATATCGAGTGTAACCAGCAGTGGACTGTCTTCCCCTTAACACGGGAAGGGAGAATAAAGTATGTGTTTATAGATGAGCGAGTTTATGTCCATACATTACATGTCGCGAAGGTAGACAATGAGTATGACCCTCTCATAATTCTTTACATGTCGCTAAGATACTTGACAAACAGTGTCTTAAAGACCACATTTTTGCATCGTGGTACCACAATATCAAAATACCCATGATCATGGAGAAAACATTTTTGCTAAAATACTTTATAAGCCCCTTCCTTATGTTCCTCCTGGTAGTAAGGATACTCAAGCTCTGTCCTACCTTATGACTTCCACATGAGTGAGAGGAGCTCCAGAAGTAGCATGAGGAGATGAGCAGTGCACCTCCATAATTCTTCACTTGCAGGAAAGAGGAAACATGCGAAAGAACATGTAACCGTCGTATCACCAACATGGACTGAAGACGATTGGATTCATCAAACAATTAAAGAAGTTGGGAACTCCACGGGATGGGGAATTGGCCTAAGCCTTCATCCCCGCATCCCGCTCTTATTTATTTTCGAAGCACTTTTAAGATTTTACAATATGAAGAAAATGGATCACGCTCTCTAAGAGATGCTAAACTTGTTAGTCATTGTTCATAAGCCAATGGTGGAGTCGAGAAGAAGGCGGCGATGGAACTCAAAGAAACTTGTAGGAAGAACTTGCACTGAAAGTGGAATTGTAGGAAGAAGTCACCTTGCAACTCTCAAGGACAAACATAAAGGTACAAGTTCTTCATCAGTGGAAATTACCGGAACTGATTGAAACCAGTTCCTACGGAGACAACTGGTGAATTTCCAAGCAGAGGAAAATAGAAACGCTACTGATTAAACAGAGGCAAGTAGTTAACATATTCAAGCAATTGAAACGACTCTGACTAAACTTCCGACTTCCATAGATAGCAAGTTCTTATGTGGCTTAGCCAAACTCCAGCACCCCATTGACGTAAAACATCAGTTTATGAAAAAGAGAAGATGAAACAGCGAGCAAATTATTATAGCTGACCTATTATGCAGACTTCAAGCATGGTTTTATTCCATCACGACGCTTAAACGAAAAATGGCCAATTTATCAGATCTTAGTGCACAACAATGCCTAATGAATATCTCAGGTAACACAATCCTTAAAACCTTGACCAATTGATTTAATATCCACACTTATACAACTCATATTACAAATCACTTTTTTTTCACCATAATAATTATTCTAGTTTGTCACATAAAAATGAAGAAAACAAGAAGTTATTCAATATTAACGGAGGAAATGGATGAAGTGATTGCCTTGGTTCGTGGATCAGCATTCTCCAAAGAAACGCCTTGAGGATCTTCTCTAACTAACAAGGCCAAAACATTGAATGAACTCCAAGAATTCGACACATGGCTTCTAGCATCCCCTAAGGTAACAGCAAATACCGCATCAAACCCACCTGCTCCAGGAACTCCAGCCAACAAAACTCCTTCCATACTCATCGTAGCATCTAAAAGCTTTGTTTGTGATTCTGGTTCTATCTGAAAATTTGTGAAGCCGAGAAATCAATCAGAGAAGAAAGTAGGATGAAAGAGGAAGTATGACAATAAAAAATAGTGTGAATCTTGATGAAGAGAAACAGTTTGAATTTAAATATTTGGATTGACATCATCTTATTCTTTGTTCAAATGACTGGCATCGGTTACTCCCTGTTG